GTAAAAAAAAAAAAAAAAACCACCCCAGAAAATACCAAACTGAAGTTGATGCCCCCGCAAAAAACAATTATCCAATGCCTGGGTTAGAAGCAACCTTAGAAATTATTCAAGTGACTGCTCTCTTTTGTGTAAGCAAATCAAGTCATGGCAAAAGTATTCTCAATAAAATAAGAATAGACTTCAAATTTGATATAAGCCAAATATAATACCAGTGTATTTTAAAACACAAAAACTAAACATAATGTAAATACTTACATTAAGAAGTAACTCATCTTTTGTTTTAAGAGGAAAATTCTTGCTTTCCTTCTCAACTTGTAAATCGTCTTCTCCATCTGATAGCACAGGAGGAAGTGATACACAAGAGGAAGAAGAAGAGGAGGAGGAAGATGATGAGGAAGAGGAGGAGCTTGAACTATCTGAATCTGTTTCACTGTAAGGAAGAAAAAAGTTGAAAACTTGGTCAAATATTACAATGGCATTATATTACTCAGTTATGAAATATGTTCTTTACCTTGCTTACTATCAATGGTCTAATTAAAAAGGGAACATTTCAAAGATTACTATAACACCGGGGAAGTAGTCTTTAGTTCATCAATAACATAATCAAAATTCCTGCTAACCCTCTTACTGCACAGTCTCATGTGTGAGTGTAGTAAATAACAATCAATGGCCGAAGGAAATGCTAGATGACACTTAACTGCCAGCGGTTTCATCACTGCTGTCAAGCAGCTTAAGAAGGCCGCCATCACCAACTACGATGACCACGCTCTTTGGTCTTTGACTTCCCACAGAAATTGTAATTTGCTCACCCACTCCAGCCCGTTTAATGTTCATTTTGTTTTGCTTTGTGTTGGTGCCATAATGGGGATTGAACCCACGGCTTCATGCTTGCTAAGGGCTCTGCCACAGAGCTATAGCCACAATCCTTTAAAAAAAAAAAAAGTTGTGACAGGATCTAAGTTGCCCTACTTGGCCTTAAACTTGTGATCCTCCTCCTTCAGCCTCTCCCGCAGGAATAAGAGCTATGAGCCCCATCCCTACTATGTTCCATATTTATGGGTACTATTCATAGTCACTTTCTCTCCTCTATGAGTAACCTCATCCACTCCAATGAGTTCAATCATCATCCATGTGCACATTAATTTCTCAATCTCTTGCCTTGACACAGCTAATCTCCACCCCTAATCTCTGGCTGCAAAATAATTAATCTGTATGAATGACACACAAACCTCACACTTCCAGCAAGCTAAAGACAAAACAGAAAAAAGGTACATTCTCCTTACTTCACTGCCTCGCTCCTCCTTGAGCTTCTATTTTATTTCACTGCTTAGTTTTCTAGCCAGTCACTGTGGTTGAACCTGGGACTCACATGAAGGCAACTGCATACTCAGGTTCATAATAAATCTCTTCTGATTGGCAATTAGTCCTACTCCTCATTTTCTTTTCACTGCCATTTCTGGACCTCATCTGTTATCTGCTTTATAATTCTGACTTATAACCAATAGTGTAAGTTTCTCCCCAAGATAATCACTCTTCCTCCCACTGAAGCTACTCTGACCTTCTTGTGACCCTCCCATCCTAACCAGGTGATGCTCCTGCTTTAAAAGATCTGTATATTCCTGGATATTTAAGAGAGAAATATTTATTTCACATGTTATGATTAACATCATTGTGTTGATGTTAGATAATGTCCTCTGCAAGCATGCATGAAGTATTTAAAGATAAGGCAGGGCCGGGCATTTAGCTCAGTGCTTCCGCTGCCTGCCTCACAAGCTCAATGTCTTGAGTTCAATCCCCAATACCAAAAATAAATAAGTAAAAGGCACCATGATGTCAGTAAATGACTAAAATGGTTCAATATTAAGTTAATACTTTCAAAAAGGTAAAAACTTAAAGGTTATGGCTATACGGTCTGCACTATTCTTTCCACTGTATTTAGAAATACTTAAGCATACAGACAAGCTTAAAACTTTTTTCCATAAAAGACATCTTAGAGCCTTTGCAGTCAGTTTCGTGGTAACCTCCACAATCTCATCCACCATTTCTCACACAGAGGCTATACTCAGCATGAGCTCATGACTTCCCCATTCTGCTTGTACTTTCACTACCACGAGCCATCGTTTGTGCTACTTTCTTTGCCTGAAATGTCCTCAACCCAGAAACAGTGTTCTTCTTTATAAGGTCAAATCAAATGTTACCTTCTTCCAAATGGATTCCTTCCCTTGCTCCTGCAGCCCTCTTTTCAAACCATTACTAGCGTCTGCCCGGTATTATAATTTCTTGAAAACCATGCTGAGTTACCAAGAACCTGAAACCAGAGACCCTGTACACGTATCAAAACATTGCCTAGCTAAAATAGGCAAAAAGTTGTATCCGTTCTACTTTCTCAAATATTTGGTACCTTCTTCCATCATCTACAGAGCCCTGCACTAAACTGTTCTATTAGGACACCATAGCCCAATGTCTGCCTTCAAACCATCCATGGATCATCTACCACTTACTTCGCTTCCCCTGTAATGTGGACACACAAATCCAACAAGATGACCTTCGAACTGCCAAGAAATCAAACCTTGTTTATAGTTTGCTCACTTCCCCTGCCCAGGACATTCAGATTCTCTCCTTCTACTCAAATCCTATATCCTTCTCCATCCCCCTGATTGATGATTTATCCCAAAACTCCTTACATTCTCACTACTGCGTACATCTTTTTCACCTGGTCAGTAACCCTACCCCAACATACACAAATATTTGTACACAATGTTCAGTGTGGTTTCCTAACAGTCCATATATTGGAGTCTTACTCCACCACAAGAAGGCACAGGCGGAAAGGGATGCTGTTATAAAAGTAATCCTTTTCTTGATCCTTACTCAGTTGAAAAACACAAGACAATATGCTAGAATTGACGGGGAAAAAGTAATTCAGACGACACAGAACTCTAAAGTTACAACCACAGAGATATATAAAATAGTACTCATGGAAATCACCCAGTAACTTCAGACTTTCTATATTTTTAGCTAGAGATTATATTACCTACACACAGAACCTTTCAGGCTCCCACATTTAGGAAAGAGGTAAGAATCTACAGTCCTAAACTCAGATTCACAACGTGCTTCCCAGAGAATGGATGTGAGGAATGGGAGGTCGGAGCTGCCGGTCCACACGTGCGCCTGAGCATCAGCGGCCTCTCCGCCCTCCCAAGAGCCACACCCGCACCCGCACCCTATGGGCTCCCAGTCCGGATTCCCAGCCTCGCTGTTCCGGGGCTCGAGGACACTCGACCTGTCCGAGTCGGA